AAGTAGGAACCCCTCGACTGCAGCAGAGGCATTCTTCTTCGCGTGGATCAAGTGGGCCGGCGCGCCCAACGCAGCGATGCACGACCTGGCTGGCAAATGCCAGGGCGAGATGGCGATCCCGGCCGAAAGGGGGCAGATCCAATCTAACGTCGGCCCAACAGACGCTCCGTGGCAACGGGCCAAGATACGAACGACATGGCGCAGTTCCGGGGAACGTCGCGCGCGCGGTCGTCGAAGAGCAGAGCATGGATGGCAAGGGCGACATGAGGGTGGTGCAATGCTACGCGGCCATGGTCAAGGAAGGGGGGCCGACCTGGGCGGCTTGTCACCGCGAGAACGTGGTTTTTTTCGAATGCCAGATCGCGTGCCCTGTTCGGCGCTCGACTCCCTCCGAGTGGCGGGGAGTCCTGCTGGTGACGAGCGGGCCCTGGTCGGTGCAGCCTACATGCGATCCCTTCGGATTCATTCCGCGGCGCAGGTGGCGCTGGGCAGGTGGGGCGATGCGGATCGGTATATCTCACAATGGTGCGCCGCTCTACGTGGCTCCTGAGCGCGTGCGATTGGCGGCGCGCGCGTGGAGCAGATGGCCCCCTACCTGGCGAGCCAGCTCATGAAGGGCGCGGCGGGCGAGCCACGTGCGAGTTGCGGCGTCGAAGGGTGCCTGGGCGTGCCTGGACATGACTGTGGAGGTGTCGGCCCAGGTGGACATGCCACCTACCGCGAGACCCGAGGGTCACGCGCGGCCAGAGCGGAGGAAGAGCCGGAGGTTGGACCGCCGCCGCCTGCCGCGCCATAGAGATCTAGGGCGCCGACGTCGCCGCCGACAGCTCTTGGAACGCGCGCCGAATGGCCGCTTGATGCAGTGGGCCCATTGGTGCCAGAGGACGCCCTGATCGAAACGAAGTCCTGGTTCTGCATCTCAAGCCGACCTCGAAGTCGAAGAGGGGGCGCGGGCTAGACCTCTATGAGTTCCTCCGGGCGGAGAGGGGCGCGTTCGCCGAGGCTGACATTATGCGCGGGAAGAAGCACCTCGACCTGGGGGCCGTAGGGAATGTGTATCCAGTCGGAGGGGCGAAGATTATGAGGGACAAACCGCGCTGCATCTCGCAAGTGCCGGCGCGGCTCGCGAGGGCCGACGAAGCGCTGGAAGGAGGGGGGTTGGAGGCGAGCTCGCGACTGGTCTCCGCAGGCCATCTACTGCGGACAGGACTGTCATTCGGTGAGGCACGTCGGGATAGTTCTACCGCTGGGTTATCTGCGGTGTGCCTGGTGCTGTCGCTGGCTGTTCGCTTCGGCTGGAATTTTGATTCGCTCGATCTGGGGGCGGCCTTCCTCGCGGGGCGTCGTTTGGAGTGGGGGCCCGCTTCCGACCGCCGCCGGGTGGGGCTCCCAGCTTGCCCGGCGGCTGGCTGATGCGGGCCCTGAAGGGTTTATCTGGCATTCCGAAAGCGCCGAGGCTGTGGCAGTTAGAGTTCGCCGAGAGTGCGAGAGCGCCCGGGGCCGAACGTGCACCTCGGTGCCCGTGTCTTTTCTTCCTGAAGCGTGGGTGCAAGGTGCGCGGTCTGCTGCGCGCGCGTGGGCGGCGCGATCTTCGCGGGAGAGGGCGATCACTTTAATGAGTTCATGGCGAAGTTCCTCAAGTCCTTGTTCGTCAAGCACGTGCGCGCCGACGATCTCGCGCCCCTGAAGAGACGTATCGCGCGGTGGCCGAACGGCGAGATCCACCTCGCCATGGGCGGGGCAGTTCGCAATGTCAAACCTGCGTGCACGTCGACGGCGCGGCGCCTGCGACCAGAGGCGCCGCTCTCGAAAGGGGGCAATCTCATCGCTACGAGCAATCATTAGAGAGTAAGTTGTGTTGGCCTAAGCGTGAGGCCCTTCCCGACTTTGCCTGCGACGCGTCGGACCTTCGGCGGCGAGTTCCAGAGGCTGCGGTAAGCGCGCTGGTCAGTGCCAACTCGGCGCTTCGAGGTCTCCAAGAACGAACGAAGCCGCTGGCCACCGAGTTTGCGCGTGGAGATGGCGCCGGCAAGGCGGCGACATGTCTGCGCGAATGCCAGTTTCGACCGACAGCCTCGCGGAGGTAGCCAGCAGGGATATGGGGTTGTACTCTGCGAAGCTTGATTTTCGACGGCGGTTCCCCAGCGTCCCCCGCGACATGGAGTTCGACAAAGTCGTGTGCGTCTACGTGCGCGGGATCCTGGTCTGCCAACTTGGTAACTGGACGCGCGACTGAATGACGGACGTGCGGCAGGTTCCACAAGTGTCCTGGGTCGACTGCAAGAGCTTGTGCGACAGCCTACGCAAGGAGGACAGCATTCCTTCGGAGCGCCGGATTGCGCTGGACATCTACGATGTCCGTCAGTACCTGGGCGGCCGCAGCCGCGCGATCGGTCTCCGCAGGAGCAGGCTTACCAGAGGCCAACACCATCAAGCAGGACGACCCAGGAACCCAATATATATTTCCCAGAGAGCCCGACGTTGCTAGTGTGTCTTTCGCATCTTGTAGCATCTTGGAAGCCATCTTGAACGATTTTGCGATATCTGGGGCCATCTTTGAGGCCATTTTGCGCTCTCCGAGGCCCTCTTAAAGCCATGTCGGGCAATCTTGGGCGCTCGAACTACCCGCGACCACCCCCGTCCTGGGGAAACGGGTGGGTGGAGGGGTAAACCCTTCCCCGAAGGGGAAGAAGGGGGTTGGAAGAGGAACTCCCTAAACACCACTCGCGCCCTAACGGGCTGGCGGGATTTATTTCGTGATCGCGCTCGCGCCTGGAACTTCCCACAAGTAGCCCAGGATCTGCGCTTTGGACGTCCACGGGTCGCGCGCGTGTGCGCGACTTCTTCGCAGATTGCTCTGGAGTCGTTTTATCGTTGGAGATTCTAAACGATTTGCGACATTCGCTTCCGTGCTTCGCCCGCCCGATCCGCCCGTTCGGGCCCGCCGGCCTCGCCCGCCCATGGATGAAAGGGTCCGCGCGCCCGTCAGGGTCAGCCGGTGCGCCTTTTGGGGGGCTCGCCCGTCTGATGTGGTGTCCCGTCTGACCTGGCCCCCCCAGCCCGCTTGTTGGGGTCCGCCCGGCCAACCCGTCTGATAGGGTCCGCCCGTCCGACCCGCTGTGCTCCGTCCGTTCGCTTGCTTCGAAACCCTGGTATCTGCCCGCCCGCCCCGCCAAATAGGGTCCGCCCGCTTGGCTCGCGCGTCAGGTCCACCCGCCCGACCCTCATTTTATGTCCGCCTACCAATCCTCCAGGTCTTGTTTCCCCCCCCCCTTGCTCGATCTTTCTCGTTTTCGGTTCTGATTTCCCTTTTGTCCTCTCTCTCTCTTTGTTTTTATCTCCTCCTCTCTCTCTCTCTCTTTCTCTTGCCCCCATTCCCTACCGTTTTCCCCCCTCTCTTCCTCGCTCTCTCTCTCTCTCTCTCTCTCTTCCTCGTTTGGGGGCTGCTCCAGCTACACGCTGCAGGCAAGTGGGGGCACGATCGCGGACGAAGAGGGCGGGCATCGAGGGTTTTTGGGGGCATACGCGTCGACTCGCACGCGAGCAGCGCAGAGCGAACGCTCCTGGGCTGCCCGGGGGGGATGCTCCTGCAGCGCCCTAGCTGTCGCAGCTGTATCCCCCTCTCGTTTCTGGTGGGAGGGCGGTCGTGGGCGGGAAGTATACAGTGGAGTTTGATTCGTAGGTCGACCCTGCCCAAACAAGAGTACCCTTGTGTCCTGTGTTTCGTGACCCGTGCCCTCTACGTTCCACTGGCAATGTGGCCATCGGAAGAGTCTTGCCCTCCAATCCCACCCGACTGTATGCGTATCCACGGCCTCGCGGGCCAGGCCCCTGGGCCGCGACCGCATGGTGGGAGCGCGGCCGTGGGCGGGAAGTGTATGCGTACTCCAGATTTCATAACAAAAGGGAGGGGGTCACAACTCTCCCAGACGAGAAATTGTAGACCCCCCCAGATCATCCATGAAAGGGCGGCCCATTGCCCAGATCCCCCCCCGAACCCTCCAAGACACCTCAAATCAGACCCCCCCCCCAAATGTGACCTCCCCTCACTTTATTATGGAATCCGGAGTAGGTGTATCCACGGCCTCGTGGGCCAGGCCCTGGGCCGCGACCGCATGGGTACGGGCTGTTTTTGTCGCGGACGTCACGCGTGTTATGGCGCCCACATCGCAGTGCGAATTTCGGTCGGAAAACCATGGGATGGGCCCCGATTATCCTGGAGCATTTCTTTACGAATTTCGAAGTGAATTTCGCATATTGTTTTGTTCTCTTTTGCCAGGAATGAAGACTAAACAAACACCCACGCGAAATTCACTCCGTTTTTCACTCGCCGTGTCGGGGTTTTGCATTGACAGAACTCCACGCCACAATCTGCCGCAGCACGTCTGCCAGGTCGGTGCAGTGCCGCGCGGGACACGTCCGTGCGACCGCGCACCGACGGGATCACGCTTCGGAGTCCTCGCCGCGAGGGCGTGGGTAGGGACCTCTTCGCCGCTCGTGACGCGCGGGGGGGGGGGTGCCGCTAGAAGTGCCCCTGGCCCAAGGTGCCCCCAGGATTTCCAAGGAGCCCCCCACGACCGCCAGAGCACCCCTCACGAGGCCCAGAGGACTCCAGGGGCTCCAAAATGGAGCGAAACGCTGGGGGCACCTTGGGCCATGGGCGCCTCTAGCAACCCCCGAGGGTGTGTGTGCAAGGGCGAGGGGGTCGACGCGCCCGGCGCCAGCCTCTCCCCCCGGAGACGACGGTCAAGCAGTGGCGTAGCGTCCTGGCGTGCCTATAGGCCCACCAAACAGTGTTCTCAAAGCCTTTTGTGGTTTCCACGAGATGTTCTTAGGACATTTCTGGCTGGGACTGTCTTGTTTTAACACATCGGATCTATGTTGTGAGAACATTGTTTTGTTTTTCAAACATGTTTGGGTTCTAAGAACATGTCGTGGTAGTCCTCCAGGAATGCCGGGACGGTCGGTCTCTGCTCAAGACGGGGCCGCCGTGCGAGGAGGAGGAGAATTTTAGCCTCGTGGACATGCTGATCGCCAGGTCGCGGAGCGTGACGGAGATGGGCGTCACCGCCGCCGAGTGGCACCGAGAGGCCGAGCCGCGCGGACGACGACGAGGATGGAGTGGGAGTAGGAGGAGGAGGAAGGAGGAGGAGGAGGAGGAGGAGGAGGAGGAGGAGGAGGAGGAGGAGGACGCAGGATGAGGTGATCCTGACCTCCAGCGGCCGAAAAGGGCCATAGCCCAGGGAGGATGCGGCCCGAGTCATTCCAAGGGGAGTTCGACCGCCGGAATCCGCTTGAAGAATCGAATCTCTCCCTCCCCGTTGCTGACGCCGCCGTCACATCCTACCCCCCCTCGCCCTTCTCCTCGTCGCGGCGACGGCCGCGCCGGGCCACATGGCCCGCACAGCTGCGCGCGAGGCGGCGGAGATTTGCCTCCTTCCCCCTCCTCCCCGCTCCCTCCGCCCCCGCTCCAGCTCCTGCCGTTTTGCCACAACGCGCAACGCCGCGCGTACCAGAGCTACACCGGCCCCGCCCGCTCCCCGTCGCGCGAAGCCTCCCTGGCCGCTGGCAGGTGTACGAGGGCGAGATCCCCGACGGCTACGCCAAAGCCCTGCAGGGAGGTATCGAGCTCGTCGATGTTCTGGTTGGGACCACCGACCTCAAGATGATAGCGGCGGGGTGGCGGGTGGAGGATCGAGGACAGAGGTCTGAGTTTTTTGAACGGTTTTCCCGACGCTCCTGTGTTGCTGGCTCCTCGTGTTAGGTCCTCCTTTCTCCTTCTCTTCCCCCCCCTCCTTGTCACCTTCCTGCCCTCGCCCGGAGTCGGCACACCCCTCACACTCTTCGTGCCCCCCACAGGTAGCTCGACCTGCGAACCCCAGTGGACGCGCACGTATGCCGCTCCCCGCCCATTTCGGCACACCCCTCACAGATATCGTGCCCCCATGGGGTGCTCCCACCTACGGCCCCAGCGGGCGCGCCCGCATGCCGCGCCGCGTCCACTGCGGATCGAGCCCCACAGGCACCTCAACGCGTCTGTGCGCGCTTGCCCCGCAGTCTTCTGTCTCCGTACTGTCTCGTCGCGCCCCGTGCGTGAAGAGGGCCGCACCCTGCGCTACACGCAGCTGCATAGGGCTGGGCCCTTCGCCAGGCTGATGGGTTCCTTTTTGGGCCTCCGTGGGCCTCAGGAGGCTTCTGGCGACTCGCAGAGAGCTTCAGCGGCCTCAGGCAGGGGTGGACCTAAACGGTGTTTTTGCGATTTCGTGGCCGTTTTCGTTTCGATTTCTTTTTGCGTTAAAGGCGGGTTGAAAACAAAACGAGGGCAAACGAAGACAACACGAACACGAAAAACACCGTTTAGGTTCAGCCCTGGCCTCTGGGGACCTCGGAGATCTCCTCCCTGTTTGTTTGGCAGTGGCCACGAGTTGCCATCTTGTGTCCTCCCTCTTGTGTCTGCGTGCTCATTTCAAGCATCACTTCGCATCTTCTGACAGTCGTTTTCTTGGGGCGAAGCGCGTCATGCTCGAACTTGCCCCAGAGCCAGTAGGGTATAGGCCATCATCCAGCATCCGCGCGCAGAGTGCCAAGTACTATGTTCGAGCATTCACACCATGTCGGGGTAAGTCGACGCCGCCGATACCTGCGCATGTGTCGCTCCCTCTGTCCGCCGCCATCTTGCTCACGCTGTGTGATCACGATCTCGTGCTCTGCCGGGACGTGCGGTCCAGCGCTGTCGTCCTGTATTATGGCGAGTGGGTTTCTCCGCCCGACTGCGTTGGAGAGCAAGCTGCTTCCAGCGTGGCGTTGAAGCATGGCATTTAGACCAGATCCAAGTGATTGTCTTCTTATTCCCCATATCCTGAGATAGGGTTCTTGTTATTACTCTGACGCCGCCGACTCCTCAGTCAGGCCTTCTCCCATTCTCGTCTCCTCTTACTCATATTCGTCCATAGTCAGATTCCTTCGCACTCATACTATTCAGAGTTGTTCACATTCAGACTCACTCATACTCATCCTCTCTCGGATTCACTCATGCCAAGACTCTGTCGCAGTCATTCATTCATATTCAGAAGATTCGGAGGATGTCTCAGGTGGGGTGTTGATTTCAGCACCCCCAAGGGAAACCGCCAGAGGGGTATTGCACGGCCTCTCAGGCGGTTTGCCTGTTGCGGTGCCCAAAATCGTTTGTGTTGACAGCAGTTTGTGAAGATGTCACAGGTGGGGCGCTGGTTTCAGCACCCCTGAGGGGAGCCGCCAGGGGGTATTGCATGGGCCCGTTCGCGGCCAGTTTGTGGGGATGTCTCAGGCGTTTGCTTGTCTCGGTGGCCGACATCGTCCGCGTCTAGAGCAGATTGTGAGGATGTCTCAGGCGGGGCGCTGGTTTCAGCACCCCTGAGGGGAACCGCCTGGGGGTATTGCACGGGCCCGTTCGCGGCCAGTTTGTGGGGATGTCTCAGGCGGTTTGCCTGTTTCGGTGCCAACATTCGTCTGCGTTTAAAC